AAACAAAACACTCATGCTGCTTCCAATGCAACACGAAGAATAAGCACAGCATGTTTTCAAGAGTTAAGAAATCCAAATGAATCTCCTCAAAATTATATTCTAACAAAACCACTATCTTTCCTCCGTTCTGAGTTAGGGAGACTTTCAGAAAGAGGGCAAAGACCTTTGCTCCTTTGTTACTTTGCTCTTTGATTCATCCTTCCTCAAGATGAGCAGGTTTGGTTAGATTTGTGACTTACAAATCTGCTGGGATCATTAATTTTGCCAAACATTTTCCCTCTCTTCTGAAACCCTAGGTAAGTGAGGTGGATCCGAGGATAAAGGCTCTTGCTGCCAGGACTGATGAGATGAGTTTAATCCCTGGAGCCAACATGGTGGAATGAAAGAACTTCTCCAGATAAGTCCTTAAAAAGGAGAAGGAATTATTACCATGCTAAGTAGATGAGGAAACCCAGACGCTAAGAGACACAACTAGCACTTGGCATCACAAAAATTCGACCCATGCTTTCAGATCCAAACCCTGCATGTGCTCAAAAGAACCCTATAATATAAAATGAAAAGTTCCTGGAAGTCCCTCTTATCCATCTTACATGTGCCAAGAAGTGTAATGTGGGAAGCAAAAAAAGGTTAAGAAATCTAAAACTCAAAATACTAACGTCTATCTGGAGTAAACTAGCTGCCTACTCATATACAGACTCTCACACTGAGAAAACTTCAAGGTGACAAGAAGGTATGGTGGAGAGCAACAATGTATTTCAAGCTCTCAACACAAGGACAAGCCGTGGCAATCCTAGTCATAAATCCAACAGACATCACGTATATTAATGCCTATGTGCTGGACAGTTTGAAAGCATAAACCTCAAAGACTTAAGCAAAAGAAAAAAACCAAAAGCACAGAGGATGCCCAGCAATTAACCTATCAACTTTTGTTTCCCACCTCATCACCACTGGGTGAACTTCTGCTTTTTATCAACTTAGAAAATATCTCACTAATTAAGACAAACTCAAAACCATAGCCCAGATCGCTTCCAATAAGTTTGACACTCTCCTTCTTGAGACAAGGTCTCACTATGTAGCCCTGGCCGGCCTGAAACTCATTATGTAGACCAAGCTGCTTTCTAATGCACTAAGATGTGCCTGCCTCTGCCTTCCGGGTGCTGAAATTAAAGGTGGGTGCTACCATGTTTTCTTGAAGCAAAGTAGCAGGTAATACGGGGATAGGTTATCAAGGGACTATTAAAAAAGAAAAACTCACGGTCCAAAAATGAGGCAAAATATTTTAAATTAAATATTCAAATCATACAGAAGTTTTATAGGTTAATTAGGACATGTAGAGCAAAAGAAATGCGTACTTAAAACTCATTACTTAGAGAGTACAATGTGTAGCTTAGGAAGCAATGAATCATGCAAAGACAGAGAGTATTAAAGCATTTACCGAGGGCTTACCTTATTAACAGGCTTGGACACCCTCAAGCCAATGTGAGGTCTAATATCTCTAAATACATGCTTTCTATATGAAAGCCATCCTGTTAGACGTCAAGAATAATCTCTTAAGCCACAATTGCACTTAAAAAACATTCAGAAGACTAAATGCCATCGCCTGTGTCACTTGCATCTCATGAATAGCACTAAATGCTTAAAGCTGATGTTTGCACACAGCTATGAAACTATGCACACAACACGGTTAGTGTGCAGAGATCACTGGAGGCTTCCCATGCACATCCTGAAATGCTACACAAATCTAATTTGACTTGATTTCTTTTCCCCAACACGAGATTTAGAGCACAATTTTCACTCATGTTATTTTAAATTTCAATCTCATGTAGCAAATGTTTACTTACAATGTTCTTCAAGGTTTTTGAACCATACATTTTGACTGTGTCTTTATGTGTGTTTAGACAAAATTCTAGGAGCAGATACTCAATTGAGAAAAGCAAGAAAACAGACCTGTAAGAACACGCAGTGGAATGTGCGTGGTTTGGCTGGGATTTTCACAATCAAGAACAAATTATACCACATAATGACTGGAAAGGTTAATTAAGTAAACTTAACCAATAGCTTTGCCAATAACAAAACTTTCCTGTTTATTTACTTTTAATCACAAAATGGATAGAATCTAAAATATACTTTACATTTATTTGGTTCAAACCATACATCCTGATATCTGAGCTAAATCCTTTAACTGTCTAGTTATAAGCTCAATGTCAGAGCAATTTTAAGCCAAGCATAACCTCTATAAATAGGTACAGTCACTGTGCCCCCTATTAATGATTCCAATTTTTGTGAATGATTTCAGTGTAGGTATTTAGGCACTTCTAAACTATAGAGAAAGGGGTAGGTGGATAGACAGAATGATGAGTGGACAGACAACAACCACAATAATATCTACCATAGACCAACACACACAGAGCACCAAGCTTTGCAAGGCTGCCTGCCAAAAGCTCTAACTCAAGCAGCACAGGATGAAAGTCCATCCACTGATCGAGCAGGGAGAGAACTAGCAGTACAGAGACTGTGATCCCAGCCATCAACCCTTACCCACAATCATGGTACAGTAAAGAGATTCTAACCTAGTTAGATGAAAACTGCAGATCTCTATAGGAAAAGATCACTGTAGTTATTAGCATTCACATGAGCAAAGGAAAAAGGATACTTTTCTGTTTTGTCACTACATAGAACAAGCAGACCTCAAATTCACAATTCTCCTGCCTCAGCCTACCAAATGCAGGGATTACAAACGGGAGTCATGCTTGGCTTCAATGACCTTTCTTTTTTATTGTTTATTATGTTTTCCTGGAGTCAGTCTATTAGATGGAAATCCAGTTTTAGAAAAAATATTTCCATTTTGTTGTTGTTGTTTCATTGAGTTTCCTATTGTCCCCCAAATGAAAAGCAATGAATTCCTTAGATGATCAGGAATTCTAAAAAGCTACTCTGAGACAGATCTCATTCAGACATGTGCCCCGCAAACGTGACTAGTGAGTTTTATATCCGTGCAGGACAGAACTCATGCACGTTTAGACAGGCTGTGGGCCCCAAGGGCACAGGCTGATCAGGTTAGGAAGGCAAGAGTGTGAGTGGCTTAGCAAACAGGTCTGTGAGTATGCCAAGTATAGGACTAGCTTTAAGACTGTCCTTTCTCTGGCTAGCTTTTGCTCCAGGCCTCCAGGCCTCCAGGCCTCCAGGTAACCACTGGGTTCAGGTTAGTAATGTTCCAGTCACCCTCGACATGATTATGAGGAGAACTTGTGTCACAGACTGACTGATGACAAGCTGAGAAGCAATGGAGAAGCCGTGGAATATGTGTCTCAGTGTGGAAGCAAGATCCACAGAGGCATAGGCATCTTCCACATGAAGACCACTGAAGACACTCTTGGGACTCACAGGACAGTGGCTTCTAACAGTCCACATGGTGCAACAGCATCCTCTACCAACCTGCACTCTCTTTGCACTAGGAAACACCCACATATATGGCTGCACACTCACATCCTCACTCATATACCTTGAAGATTAACAATATTGGTGTTTTTGTGAAGCTTAATGCATATAAAGTGCTTATTCTTATAAGATTAGTATTAAAACCACCAAATAACTAGCACTTTACATATTGTTCCTACTTATAGAACAATAAATTAGCCTAATGTTTATAAACTCCAGAAAAACAAAGAACCCAAAGAAGCATGTTTTTGAAATAGAATATGCTTTTTTTAACACTAGAAAACAAGATACAGATATTCAGACCATGTTAAGTAAGCTTGAGTCCTGGGTTTAAAAACCACAAATAAAGCGAGCAATACTGACAAATTTTTACACACATACAAGTAAAGTGAAGCCATTTTTTTTAACTCAGACATAAATATATCTCCCTAGAGATCAATGAAAACCCGGACTTATTGGCCTACAAGACTGACAGCTAGATTCCTCCCCCTGGAACAGTATGGAGCTATGTCAAAACCCTGAAAAACAGGCTGCAGAGCTGATGCAAAGCTAGACAACACACGGATGGCACAGAGCAGCAGCCAGACTCCTCGGGAGCACCTGTCCTCGGAGCTGAAGGTTCTGGGCCATAGTTAGCTTCCAAATCAAGCTTACTCTTCAACTGCACATGTAAAACAATAGTAAGTCAACCTAGTAAAATCTTCCTTTGAGCATATGAATTATAAAACCACAGAGAAGGAGCCAGAAGGTCAGCTTGGACAGATCAGTGAGCCAGGTCATGCAGGAGCAGAACTAGGACAGTGGGCCAACTTATCCTTCCAAAGGGTACATAGAAAAGCAGAGTGGAATCCAGAGAGAGGAGGCACGCCAGAAATCTACAAAAATCAAAGACATTAATGGCCTACCTTGTGGGAAAGCCTAGAATGGAAGAGAATGTCACTACAACCCTCCAGCATGGTTTTCCTAGAGGAGTGAGACTGGATCCTATATTCAGTACTCTATGCTTGAACTAAAATATCTCTTAAAACTTTGCTTAAAGTGTAAAGATAAGTGTTGCTTCTGTGCTATCTCTGAAATCAATTAAATGAATTAAATTTACAAAACCAACAATGAAGTTCATGAACTTAAGAAGGACTTAAAACTTCAACTCTTGAGTTTGAAAAATCCTTTCCAGTAGACAACTTTAAATTTGGGGCGGGAGAAACACTGCCACAAATCGACAACTTCTGTATTATTTTGACTACTATAGACTTTCCATGTGAAATGCAAAGCATTTTAAATTCTTACCAGGCCAATCAAGATGATTTCCAAAATGCCAAAAGAAGAAGTTCTTTTTATAAATAACCTATCCCAATTTATGTCTCTAAGTAGACTCTGAGGAAATCAAGCAGTTTGAATGCCAAGACAGAGATTACTAAAGTCTGCCCACCCCACACACCATCAGCTGACCCATGTGAACCTCCCATAGAATCACCGGTCCAAGCACAGATGTTCAGTTCAGGGGATGCACAGAACACAGCAATGATTGCAACTTAGCTGCTGAGAGTTTTGAGGCCACTCACCATTCGAAGTGGTACTTGAGGCCACAGCCTTCTCACTGACATCTGTTCTTGTTGGACATTTCCCAATGGAATTTTCAGCTTTCTTCCTCTCAGTGGTTGTAGAGCTGTGGGACTGGGCCTCCATAATGTCTTCTCATTACTTCAGCTTGTTTCTCGAAGGAATCCCTAGAAAACACCACAGTGCCATCAAATTCCCAAAATGGCAGAAGAAACCTTTACCCAAAAGCCCTCTATGTCTTCTACCTGAGGAGAACCTAAAGGTTTAGCAAAACCTGAATGGACATTTCTCCAAAGGTTTATGTGGCAAAAATATTTCATAGCTGTATTTCATAGAGCTGAGTTTTCATATTCCTTAAGTGACCCCACCCTTTGCTATCTGCAAAGGAAAACAGAACAGCTCATAATGTACAAGTTTCCCAGTTCCTCCAGAGCTTTTGTTATCAAATGATCTAGACCAGTCGTTCTGAACCTTCCTAATGCTGAGACCTTTCAATGCAGTCCATTATGTTGTGGTCCCCAACCATAAAATCATTTTAGTTGCTACCTCATAGATGTAATTATGCTGCTATGAATCCTATTGTCAAAATTCTTGGAGACAGAGGTGTGCCAAAAGGGTTTGACACACAGATTGAGAAACAATAAATTCTAAATACTTCAATTTTCAATTGTCTACAGTATAAAACCCAAGTGTCACATTGCTCTTTAAGCCATTCCTGTTCGTTTCTCTTTGGGTGGTCAACTTTATAGGAAGGGACACTAAGAGAACTTCTAAGTCAAAAGAAAGTTTGTAATTACTAATTAGACATTTTAAAAAGCAAGTAGCGGGCCCACCCAGAGCCCTGAGTCTGGGATAACTCAGCCAGTAGACAATGATTCCTACTTCTTTCATAAGACACTGGATTGCCATGCGCTTCTTAACCTAAAAGCATCCAGACAAACTGTGTTCTTTACGTTTTCTGAAAAGGAAAACATTAATTCATTAGGGTTAATTTCCTAAACAAAGATAATACAAAACATCCCTCCATTCCACCACAAAAGTCAGACAAAAAGTGAGGGTAACAAAGGCTGGGATCACATCCAGAATATGAAAACTCAACTACAGGCACAGTCAAGTCATCTGTCCTTCACCAGCTTCACTCAGAGGACAACAGCCCCAACTAATCATTCATCAATCTTCACACTAGCACATTCTTTTACAGACTACTTATACCTACAAAGAATACGAAGATGAAAAGTTCACTCTCCGGCATATTTTCTTCAAGTTCTCTAGATTGCGACCCCCAAGGTAGGTGTGTCCTCTGTCTACTCATCTGCTCATTTGTCTACGTGTAGCAGACGCCACAGTGTCCAATCAAAAGAGCGATTAGTGAAAGAAAATAAGAAGCTCTTTAACTGGCAAAAGTGCAAATGCCAGAGGATGTTTGTTTAGTCAGCTTTAACTCACGTTCTTTTGTGTACACCAGATGCCTGTTGACCAGGAATTCAAGCCATTCAGTTATGGCTTCAGAGACAGGGGCTGACCATACAACACTAAGGCACTGGCTATCCCTGACTTCCATCTTTTCCTAGAATGTCTATTGTCATTCACTCTAAACCAGTGTTTTGTAGAATAAAAAGAAACAAGATGTACTTACCAACTGTAAGGCCCACTCTGAATTGAGAAGTATATTCAGAGAACACAATGAAAAACAAAAAGAAAACAGCAGGGATTGGACAGCACTCACAGCCTACCAAAAGCTGCCCCAGGAGCTGTCCAGCGCAACCTTGGCCAACCTGTACTCACTCTGAGTTCAGAAAGGACAACAGAAGCCCTCTGCTTTTTAAGAAGAAAACAAAACAAAACAAAAATATCCTTTACTCCAGGCATATACACTTAATTTCCAAGGGACCACAGACCCTCTAAAACTCTTCTATGAGCCTGGATAAAAACATCTAAAGAGAAAATTTCCATTGTTGCTTGTGTTTCTAAGAAAAACTCAGAGACAGTTCAATGAGTGAAGCCTTACAACCTGATTTTGATTCCTGGATACTACAAGATGTAAGGAGGTGAATCTTCTCCCCCAAGTCTTCTGAACTCCACATGCACAGTAACACTGACAGTAACATTTAAAAAAAAAATCTCAGGATAGTTCTCTCCAAATTGATTTTATTGTTTAAAATGAGGTCTTACTATACAGCCCAGCCTCGGCTCAAACTCTCAATATTCCTTCCTCAACCTGCACCCACCTTTAGACGACATTTTAAAGTGTACCGCAAGGCTGGGAATGGGCTGGGTGTGGTGCCCAACTTCAATTCCAGCAGAAGCAGGAAAGTTCCTGTGAGTTACTAGTCAGCCTGGTCTACAAACAGAGTTCCAGGCCATCCAGAGCTATACAGCGACACATTGTCTCCAAAATCAAAACAAAGGCCAAGCATACCATAAGAACGATTGAAGCCAATCCATATCCCTCCTACTCCAAGAGTTTCCCTGAATAACCATTTCTACCCAGATTACTATATGCTAAGAGATCTGATTTTCCAGTTCTATTTCTGAACACAATGCATCTGTCATGGACAATAGCATCTAAGAGCCTGTATTTGAAGCACTAATTGTCAATGTTACTGCAGCTTCCAAATAGCTGCTCTACACATTTATATTTGTTCATCACTATGCATGTATCCATGAGAGGACCTCAATTATATTCGTAGGTATAGAATGAATGAAGTGTATTCCAGAACACTGAATTCACAGCTCATAGAACCTATCCTGACTCCAACAGTAATGATAAAGAACTGTGTTTAAGAAATCTTTGCTAAACATACATCTCCCTGCTTCCTCTAGACTGGAAGCCTCATCAGGAGTAGACTTCTATCTTCTCAAGAACTAATATAAAGACAAATGCTTACTGGGTAAATAAAGGTTCACATCAGGGACCGCATGACTTCTAACTCTGCTGTGTCTTGAGTTTTAAACATCCTTGAGCTAGCTACATACATCTTCTTCTATGCTAAATGTTTCATTGAAAACTGGCTAATTCTATAAAAGCTAAAAATTTTACCAGGAATCCTTAATCAAAGCACCCAATTCAGATACCACAATCTTCTCCTCCAAAACTGATTTACAGTTTTATTAGCTGAGTTGGGACAGTTTACTAAGTTTAAAATGCAAAATGGGAATATAACACACAAAGGAACCAGACAGCATCCCATCAAGATAGAAGGTTCCTGGTGAGTACCAACAAGTCACTGAAGTTCCTTTGTAAAACTGAATTTTATGCAGTTTTTGGGTACCCCTTAAGGCAACATTTTAACAATGCAACTCACCCTCCCAGAATTCATCACAATGGAGAAACACTCAAGTGCCAAGAGATACCACCTGAAAGCTACTAATTAATGGTCTTAGAAAATACTAATTCCTGCTCCTGTTTGAAATAGATTTAAAATCTAGGCCCTTAGTAACTTAAAAAGTCTACCCCCTTCTTCTATTTTGACAACTTATTTTTGGATCTCATTAATTAGCAACTAATTATTTAAGTGTAGTCAATGCTTGGTGTAGGGATATAATGTGGCAATTTGCCAAGGCAGACATCTGCTTCCTGTATAGCACTGTAAGTTATATCAGCTTATTTTACTGATAAAAACACAATTTTATCCTTGTCACAAAGAGAAAGCTTTAACACCATGGATGCCCACGCCCCATGTAACTGTTGAAATGGTGACTGTTTCTCCCTTCAGGGTGGCTTTTTCATAGGACATTAAGGGATTTGAAAACACAGACTAGAGTTGACCCTGGCTGTAATGCTAAATTGTGGCAAGCTGAAGCATCACCCTATACCACTCTCAGAGCCTAGACTACCTTAAGCAATAAAGTAGATATAGTATTTAAACTGTAAGAATTAAGGGGAAGGACTAATTTCACTTCATTCCAAATACTTTTCTCTATAAGACACATGCTACTATGTTTTAGATATGAATGAACTCAACACTTTTCCTCTGGAGGCAGTTTCCCTGTTTATAACCCCAGCCTGTCCCCTTCAGTCTTCACCACTGGGACAGTGCATGCAGGATTGCAGGAGAAGATCACTTGGCTTTTTTCTGTCTTGCTTTGCTTTCTTTTCTTTTCTTTCTTTCTTTTTTGGGGTGAGGGTAGGGGTGAGGGTGGGGTCCTAAGTCAGAATCCTAGCAAAAAGGGTAAAGGCAAATCAGCTGCCTAGGAAGTCTGCAACTAGTATTCGCCTCCTGAGGGCTTAAGTTCCACAGGTAAAAAAGAAGGATGAAAGCTCCTTCCTGGAGGCAAAACAACCGAATCTTTTTTCATTCAAGTATTCCAAACCTTTGGTAATTTCCCAGAGGCCAAAGTCCAGAGCACAATTAATTTCAGACCCTTTTTACATCTACTCTCTCCCTTTCTAACAATTTGCCTGAAAGGTACATCTTTTCTTTCTAGATTCCAAATGTGAACGTGCCTCAACCTCCCCTAAAACTGACTACAAAAGTTTTCCAAAGCCACCAGGAAAAACACTTGTAGTAGATATTCACTCTGAACATGACAGGATTGGAGGTAACATTTACCAAAATGAAGAATTTTGTAGGTGGGAGGAACACTACATTTTCAAAGCACTTTCACACAAATGTCCCATTTACTATGGGGATTCTATTGAGCAGGCTGTGGTTGCTGCAGCCCATTTAATTTGAAAGATTTTTAGGGGGGGCAGGTTTCCAGTCCTGACACCTCAGACTGGAGCAACCTCACGCCTCCAACCACTGTGTCTTAATTCCTGTGCACCCACTGTTTTTCAGCACCCCACTAGCCACCCAAGCTCTTGGCTGTCCTGTCCCTCTCAGGAGCTGCATCTCTAGGCCCTGGCTCCACCTCTGAACCACTGCAGCCTTGTCTTTAGAGCTGAAGGTTCTCAAGCCAGGGAGGTAAGGAAGGTGCTGCAGGCAGGGGAGACTTCTGAAAGGCCTTCAGGAGGTTGGCCCAGCAGCTCAATCCCTAAAAGTAGGTCTCCCTTATCAATCTGGGTCAGATTAGTTATCCTGCTCTCCAGGAATAGTTGTGGGCACTTGCAAACTCTCTCTACAGCTGGTCCAGAAAAATGTCCAACAGTCAGTGGGAAGGGGGATTGTTCATTGCATCCATGTAGTCTGAACTAGCTAAATTCAAATAAGTATGACAGTGTGTG